GTAAATAAAAATGTAATTTTTTAAATAAGGGTACAAAAAACAAATGATATGATAATAAATAAAATTAATAAATTTTTATTTGCAGGACTAGAAAAATCTCTGTATCACAATGAAATTTTACATAGATAATCTTGAATACTTAAAGTACTTATATAAAACTTATGTAAAAATTGAGATTTGTGTCATTATTTCTTAATTAGAGCATTTCCATTAGAGAGTACTTCTATCTATTTATTTAAATAATTTTGAATTTAATTTTGAGGTTCTAAACTGCCGCTTAACCTTTTGTATAATTTTTAAGGGCGAGTTAGAGAATAAAAATTTGTAAATTTGTAAATTTTTCATAATTTTTACTTAACTGTAAATATGAAAATTATAAAAATAAATGTAATCCATCCTTAATATAATGCGTGATGCGAGATATTTTTCTCCTTTGCATCTCGCTCGTCAGTAATAACGCGCGTACGACGCGTACGTGTACATCGAGCATGATATACCAAGGTGAAGTGCACGCGCCTACGAGGAAATGCCATTCATTCGGACAAAGCGGTGAATCGCCGCCGATCGCACTTAACAGCTCGCGTAACATTCGTGCACCGTAAACGCATCCGTCGCTCTGCGATCCGCGATGTATTACCGCATCGAATAATTTTACGCCCGTCGGGCCGCCGGTTGCCGGTTAACCGTGGAATAATTGCATTTACTCGTCAGTACTCTCCGCGCGTATACGCAAAAACATCGAGTGAAAACGACCGAAGCACTTGCGTGAAACGAAAATGTTTCGGTTCAGTAATACCCCCGTAGATAATATACGTACTTAAAACAACATCGCCACCATGTAGCCATCGAGATCGGTGCAGAGATAACAACGGTAGTATATGCATCACGCTTCGAATCACGCTTCGCGATCTATTATCGTTAATGTGCAGCCAATTAAATTGTTCGACAGAACGCTTACTTTCTAAGAAAAAAGCATCGCTCTCGTCGAGTGCATCGAGCAACAATCTTTTCATAACGTCCACAATGACTTTATAAATTGCGAAAACGGGACGCTACGTTAAGTTATTTTAAGCATGTATATATTCAATCTTTTCCTTAGCAAAACATTATTAAGATATCTCAATCAAAGAGAAATCTTGCTAAACATAAAAACTGAATGTTTAGTCTTAAACTTTTGACTCTTGAATACAAAAAGTTTATCTCCATAAACTACATTGCAATTTCTAACTATTTTAATAAATTAAAGAATGCTTAATAAGCTAAAATAGTAAGCCTCTAAATAAAATCAATTTTATGTAAAAGAATTTAATATATAATAATTAAAAAATCGAAAAGACACCGTTATATATATGATATTTCATATTCGTATTTTAAAATTTTTGTTCTATTTTAATAAATTAAAGAATACTTAGTAAACTAAAATAGTAATTCTCTAAATAAAATTAATTTTATGTAAAAGAATTTATTATAAAATAATAAAAAAAACCGTTACATATATGACATAATTATTTATATTCTAAAATTTTTGTAATCATTAATGTTAATTTCTTGTTAAAAAAGGAAGAAACAGAGAAATATATTTCAAAGATCGAATTAGCGATGAAATATAATCGTTCACAAGAAAATAGTCGTATTAAATACGAAATATCAAATCAAATAATAAATTTTCTTCTTAAATATTTTGTAGATACTATTTTTTATTTTATTTTCATGTTGTTTACTTACAGCCGAGGTATATGGAGACACCCGAGAAGAGAAGGAAGAACAAGAAAGCGGCGAGAACGCAGCATCCGCAACGATACTGCCCGCCGAGCTTTCTCGTGAAGCGAATGTCACTGTCAGACGACAGGATCGAACTTGGAGTTCCGGCACGGCTGAATCTTCGGGTGCTTACCGTACTCACCGAAATCTATAAACAAAAACGTACGTGTTTTGTACTAATCAATTAGGATTTTAATTATGACGTATCGATTGCTCAATTACGTAAAATATGTGTGTGTGTGTGTGTGTGTGTGTGTGTGTGTGTGTGTGTGGTGGTGGGTGGGGG